ATAATTAAAAAAAAAAAAAAAAAAAAAAAAACATAAGTTTATGAAAAATAAAATATATTAATATTTATTTTAAAAAAAATGAGAAAAAAAAAATAGTGCATATATATATACATGTGTATATATATCATTATAATATTTATCTTTTTCATACAAGAAAAAGAAGCAAAGAATGTATTTCTATTAAATATTTCAATTTAATTTATTATATTGTTTTTGATTTATGATTATGATAATGTTAAATTTATTTTAAGAATTAAAAATTATGTTAAGAAAGGAATTTTCTTAATATTGAATCACACATTTAAATATACTATTTCAAGAAAATTCTTAAAGGAGTTATTTGTAGATTCCATTTTCATTTTTTACAAAAATGTATTATTATTTCCATCTACTTTTTATTTAAATTTTATATTATACTGTATTATTGATAGCATAAATAATAATGTTATTTATTTAGCTTAAATTATTCTTTTGTCGTCACTCTTTTTTTTTTTTTTTTTTTTTTTATGTGGATACAAAAAAAAATGCTATGAAAATATTTAGACATTTGATGATAAACATTTTGAATGGATTTTATTTTTTTTCTTATTATAAAAGATGAATTTTCTAATTTTTAAAAAATTAAAAAAAAGAATTCATTCAACAATTTTAATACAACTTATCTTAGTACTATTTTTAATTCATACTTCTCATATAAAATTAAATAATTGCATATACATAAATAATAATTCAAAACCTTTAAAAGATGTAGAATTTTACATAGATACCCCTAATTATAAAATACCAAAATGTAATTTATGCATTAATTGCTCCGTTTGTATACACGAAAATGAGGTGTCAGAAGTAATAAAAAAACTTAAAAAAGAATAGGGAATATTCATATATATATATATATATATATATAAAGTTATAAAGGAAAATTATGAAAAAATAATTAAAAAAAGTTGATATTATAATATTTCAGAAATTATGCAATAATACATTTATATATGGAACCAATTTAGTTTTTTTTTTTAAATAGTTCAAAGGATAATTAAATAAAAGCTTGTTCTATTTCTTTAGTATATTTTCCTAGTTGCATTGTATAATTAATATATTTTTTTGTCTTATTTTTTTATTTTATAGAACATCATTCCATTGGTTGCTGTAGCTAGTAAAAGAAAATACTTTTCTGATAAAATTAGTAAAGTAAAAGGTGATAATGCAGAATATGGAATAAAAAAGGAAGATATAATACCAAGTAAATATGCCAATGACTCTGAGGATAATTTTTTTTTATTAAATAAATTAAATAATGGAAAAAAAAGGTCTTACAATTTTCTTCAAAATGATAAATCATATGAAATTTCAAAAAATAACAAAAATTTAAATATTAAAAAAGAAAATGATGAACAAAAAGAAAATGAATATTATATTTCAGGTAAGGATTTTACTAATAATTATAGCCATAAGAATTATAGAATAAATGGAGATATAAATAATAAAAAAAAAGATCAGAAAGTAGATAATAAATTGTCAAATACTCAAGTGACTTTACCTTTACAACAATTACAAGATGTAAACTTTTTTATTTCTATATTTATATAAAATTATGTATATATAAAGAGTAAAAGATTATTTATAAATTTTTTCATACTTACAATAAGAATTTTTTTTTTTTAGAGTCAATATGTTGGTACAGTTAAAATAGGGAATCCACCACAAACAATAAGGCCTATTTTTGATACTGGTAGCACGTAAGTTTTTAAGAATAAATATTTATAAAAAAAAAACATAAATAAATAATTTTTTAAAAAAAATAAAAAAGAAATATAAATAAAAAATGTAAAAATTTAATATAATAAGGAATTAATTTTTTTTTTTACATATGTATATATAAATATATATGTATGTATATGTATATATATATATATAAATATATATATATATAAAGAAATATATGGATAGTCAGTACAAAATGCAATGATGATACTTGTTTAAAAGTGCATAGATACAACTATAAATTATCTAGAAGCTTTAGATATTATAAACCGTATACAAATTTAGATATTATGGTAATTTATATATATATATATATATATATATATATATATATATATAAATATATATAATATATATACCAATTTTTTAGTTTGGTACAGGAATAATTCAGGGAACAATAGGAATAGAAACATTTAGAATAGGCCCATTTAAAATAGAAAATCAATCATTTGGTTTAGTAAAAAAAGAAAAAGGAAATGAGAAAAAATCTAATGTTTTCGAAAGAATAAAATTTGAAGGAATAATTGGTTTAGCATTTCCTGCAATGTTATCTACCGGAAAAACAACTATTTATGAAAATTTAGTTTCTGCATATAATTTTAAACATAACGAATTTTCAATTTATATAGGAAAAGATAGTAAATTTTCTGCCTTAATATTCGGAGGTGTAGACACACGATTTTTTCATGGAGATATTTATATGTTTCCAGTTGTTAAAGAATATTATTGGGAAATAAATTTTGATGGTTTATATATTGATCATCAGAAATTTTGTTGTGATTCTAGTTCGATTGTTTATGATTTACGAAAGAAAAGTAAGAAAAAAAAAAATTCCTTTATCCGGAAATTTTTTAGAACAATTTCTCATTTCAAGAATGAAAATCAAATGGAAGAGAATGATAGTATGAATGAAAAAAAAATAAAAAAGGATAAAAATTATTTAATATTTGATTCTGGAACATCTTTTAACAGTGTACCTAAATCAGAAATAGAATATTTTTTAAAAATTGTTCCTTCAAAAGTACATTCTAAAATATATATATATATATATATATATATATATATATATATATATATATATATATATATATATATAAAATTAAAATAAAATTAAAAAAAAATTAATTTTGTTTTTTTTTTTTTTAGAAATGTGATGATAATAACATTGATGAAGTTGTTTCAGGCTATCCTAATTTAACATATGTTATTGTAATTTAAAGCAACAACACAACAACAAAAAAAAAAAAAAAAAAAAAAAAAAAAAATAATGAAATAAAAAACAAAAATATTCATTTATTATTTTTTATTAATTTCCATGTATGTATTTATAGAATAAAATGCCATTTACATTGACACCAGCACAATATTTAGTTCGTAATAATGACATATGTAAACCAGCATTTATGGAAATAGAAGTTTCACCTGAATATGGTCATGCATATATTTTAGGAAATGCAACATTTATGAGATATTACTATACTGTTTATAGAAGAGGAAAAAAAAATGAAAGTTCATATGTAATAATAAACATAATTTAAAAAAAAAATAATAGTTTAAATATTATCTTTTATTTATTCATATATTTTCCTTTTATAATAAAAATTATATACATACATATATTTTTAATTAAAATAGGTAGGGATAGCGAAAGCTGTTCACGCAGACGAAAACGAAGTATATTTGAATTCTCTTCATAATGAAATCAATAAAATGTGATTGAATTTTATTCATATTTCACATTTTTCTTTTGTACAAAGAAAGTTTTAAGTATATTCAATTATAAATTTTGTTATACTCTTTATATGAAAAACATATAAACAAAAAAAAAAAAAAAAAAAAAAAAAAATTAAATAATTTTTTAAACACTTAAAAAAAATAATATATATGTATGAAATTAAAAAAATAAATTTATTACCAATGTTACTAAAAACATAAAGAATAAAATATATTTTTAAAATTAAAAAAAATACATATATATATATATATATATATTTATAGACTTCAAAGTATTTTTGTATTATTTTATTTATTTTGTCTTATTGTATATTTGGAATATCTATGCTTTTTAAGAAATTTTGAGAAAAATACTTTAAAGAATTTCATCATATTAAATGTATGATAAAATATAATATATGTGTTAACTTACATCAATCTTATCTTTTTATTTTTGTATATTTTTCTTCATTTTTACCTCCAGTTTTGATGCATTTTTTATTTTTTTTTTTTTTTTTTTTTCTAATATTTAAATTACTTTTTTTTCAATTTTATTCTTCTCCTTATTTTTTGTACTCTTTGAATATTTATTTAAAACTTGAGTTAGTATATTTTCAAAAGTTGATAATTGGCAATTTTTTGTTAAAACAATTAATGGAGCTAATTCACAATATGGAGGTACATCAAATGTTTCTGCTTTTTTATCATTTTCAATAATTTTTTCATAATCAGGCATGTATGTTTTATAAAAGAAATTTAAATTAGATGTAGAATTTTTTTTATTTTCATTAAAATGCTGGAACACATGAGAAAATACATTAGTCTTTTTACTTCCACTACTGCTATGTACTTTACTATTTTCAAATTTATTTTTTATTTTTTCATCTTCTAATAAATTAACTTTGTTTTCTATGTTATTTTTTCTTTTTTGATCATCATTTAATTCATCTTCTTTTTTATTTTTATAAAAAGATCTATCACTTAAACAAGAAAAACTTCTTCTACAAGATTTACGAGATATATCATCTGAACCTAAATTAATGCAATCATTTTCATAAGTTAATAAATTTTCCTTAGTAACATCTTCTTTTTCTTTTTTTTCATAATCTAACTTTAAATTATCTTTTGATTTGTTTTTTTTTCTTAAATTAGAACTAATAGATCTAACCATATAATTTCCTGTGATATTTAAATTGTTATTATCTGTACTTTTTTTTTCATTTATACTTCCATTATCTAGTGACATTTCTCTTTTATTAATTAAATTATATGTTTTTTCTTCTTTTTCTCTTTTAAAAATATTGCAAGAATTAAAAGTTTCCGTGTTTGTAAAATTGTTTGAAGACACACGTAGACTACTTCTTGTTTTTTCTATATTTGGTATTCCGTAATTTAAATTAGTTTTCCTTTTATTACAGTTAAGTATAATCTCGTCAATACTGTTAGAATATTTAATGTTATTTTTATTATTTCTCAGATTATGATCCTTAGCATTTAATGATGATGCTAAAAAAGAACTATTTGAACTATTTTCATGTAATACATCCATGGAGTTTTTATAATTGTTGTCCATTTTGTTAAAATTTTTTAAATATTCTACATCGTCATTTTTCATTTCTGTTTCTTTTAATTTATTATTTTTTTCATTTACATTAATATCTCTATACAAACATTTATTTAAATTTTCATTTTCATTATTGATGTTTAATTCAGACCCATTTTTATTTTCTATTTTCAAATTAACTTCGTCATTTAAAATGCTCCTATACATTGTATCATTCCTTACATTTTTTTGTTCTGCCAGTTCACTTTTTTTATTTATTTTATTTTCATTTTCTGGAGTATCATTTTTTGCTATATCATTTTTTTTATTATCATCAAAATATTTATTAAAATGCCTCTCATATTTTTGTTGTTGCGCTTTTGCATCTTTTTCTAAAAGTTCATAATTTTGACCAAACCCATCTTTTGCACCTGAGCTAAATAATATTTCAATACGGAATCGATTATTATCATTTCTCTTTAATTGCTTTCTCTCCCATACTCTAAAAACTAGATGAGATAAATAGTGTAAATCTGTAACATCTCCCATGCTTTTAATGGAATCATTATCAATTATATTTTGATTAATTGAACTGTCTGTGTTTTTAGCATGAATTAAAATATTTAACAACGAAATCATATGGGAAGCAGATGTAACGTAATATCGTGATCTTACCATTCTCCATGGAGATCTTATACCTAATCTTCTAGCATCGGTTTCTTTTAATCTAATTATATCTTCATCATCATCATGTTCCTGTTCTTCTTCGCCTTCATCTTCTTCTTCTTTTTCATGCTCATTTTCATTTTTATTTTCATTTTTATTTTCTTTTTCTTCTTCCTTTTCTTCATCTGTTTTTTTTTTATCTTTTTCTTTTATTTCCTTCATATTATCATCATCTTGCTTCATTATCTTTTCTAGAAATTTTTGCTCTACATTATTTTCATTACCGTCTTCTTTTTTTTCATTAAATTCGTTTTCTATAGTACTTTTCATTTTCTTCATTTTCTGTTTTTCATTATTTTCTTTTCTATACTTATTCTGATGTGCCCATAAATCAGAAGAATTAATAACTAGAGCCTCTTTTTTGTTAATTAATTTTGGAGTGTATAAATCTTTTACGTTAGTATTATAAGTTACGCTACTTTTATAATTATTTAAATCATTTATATTTTCATTTAAATTTAACTCTGAACATTTTATTGAGATATCATTATTATTAGTCTTATCGTTTATGTTAATTATTTTATTTGCTATACTTTTTGTATGACTAGGTTCAGAATTTGTTTCATTTCCTTTTTCTAAACATTTGGTATTTACTAAATCACATTCTAATATATTTTTGTCTATTTCATTTATATTATTTTTTGAGATATATTCTTCTTTATTTTTCATTATTTTTATTTCTGACTCTTGTTGATTTTCTTTTATTAAACAACTTTTTTCTGTTTCTTCTTTTTTTTTTTCTCCTGATAATGATAAATTTATTTTTTTTTCCCCTGAAGAAAATTCTGTTTCCGTTGGAATTTCTTTATCTATATAATTTTTTTTATTCTGCGTTTTTACTTCATTTTTAATATAATTATTTTCCATATTCTGTTTTTTTTCAATATTTAAATCATTTATTAATTTTGTTTTGGATTCATTTATGCTTGAATTATCATTTATTAAAACATTTTGATCATTTATATTATTATTTCCATTACTTATATTATTTAATCCATTTACATTAGTTGTATTATTATTTGCATTATTATTTAAATTATTAATTGTATCATTATATGTGCAGTTAAAAATACCTTTTTCTGAATTAATTTTCTTCATATTTTTATTTTCATTTTCATAGCTTTCTTTTTCTATTTTACTGTTTCCATTTTTGAATAAAAAATTATCTAAAAAATTTTGTTTAGAGTCATATTTGCACATATTAAAGTTTTTAAATGAATCTTTTTCTTCTTCATTTTTTTCTTTCTTTAATTCATCATTTTTAGAAAAATTAAAAGGGTTCATATAAGAAATATGAAAAGCATTCTTAAAAATATTATTACCTTTATTATTTTTTTTATTTCTTTCTTCTTCATCTCTATAAAAAGTGACATCATGTATTAATTTTCTTAGTAATTTTCCGACAATATTGACACCAATTTTTACCTTTTCTTCTGATGTTATTCCATATTCAGCCTGTGAAATGTAATTTGCTAATGGTTCAATTAAATTATAAATTTCGAAAGCTTTATCTAACCCACTACCTAAATATGAGTGGTGATGAATTAAATCAAATCTTATATTATCGACAATGTCAGGAATTTTTGAAGTGTCATATCTATTATTATTTTTTTTGAACCACATTTTTGTTAAAGATTTCCATCTCACTTGTATTTCATGTAGGATATCAATTACATATAAGGCATATTCATCATAAGGAAATAAATTTAACCATTTTTGTACTTCTTGATTTAAACTTTTTAAAAATTCATAGATAGTATTTCGTATTTTTTCCATTAATTCATAAAAATTGGAAATTTTCTTTAAAGATTCTCGAAATCCTCTTGAATGTTTTCCGGATGCTAATTTTTTTAGTAAATCATCATCAATATTTTTATTTTCATTTAACACATTATCAATAAATTCTTTACATTGTATTCTTTCAAAACTTGGTCTATTATCATCTAATAGACTATGAGCTTTAGAATTTCTAATAACCATAGCAACTAAAATAGGAGTTAATTCACCATCCAAATCTAAAAAACCTTTTGTAAATGCAGCAGATGTTATTTGACATCTCCCTTCATCAGAGGTAAATATTTTAAAATCATGTCTAAAAGTTGAATGCAATCTTAATAATCCATCTGAATCTCCAGGATATAATGTAGCTCTAAATCTTTTTCCTAAATTTTCCGATTGTCTTCTACCCATTCTTGTTAGTTCTCCACCCCATTTAGCAACAACAAGAATTTTAGTAACAATAACTTTATCATTCACAATTACTAAGTCAAGTGGTTTTAATTGAATTTTTCTATTTATACCAGTAAATCCGTCACCCCTTTCAAGAATTTTTTGTAAAGTTTTATGATTTTCAATCATTATTTCATATTCTCCCCTTTTTTTTTCTAACTCTTCTTTTGACATTGTATCTAAATTACAGCGATTTATTAATTCTTTATCATTTATATTTTCTTTTTTTAAAGTAATAATTTCACTAACATTATCATTTTCATTTCTTTTTTCTATTGTTGTTTCTTCTGTTTTCCTTTCTTGAATTTTAATAATGGTTTCTTTTATAGTTTTGTATTCCTTTTCAATATCGTTCAATATAATATTATTTATTAAAAATAAGTCTTGTAATTCTTCTGGTGACTTAAATTTTATTTCTTTTCTCATATATGCTTTATACAAGTTATTTTTTTTTATTTCTTCTGATTGCGTAATAGTACTATCCTTTAATGTCTTACTGTATGAGGAATCCTTATTGTTCATTTTAGTAGCATCACTTTCGTTTGGAACTTCAATTTTGTCGTTATTTTTTTCATTTATACTGTTATCACTATTGTTTTTTTTTTCGTTTTCACAGTTATTAATATTTTTATCTTCTTGAGATGTTTTATCATTATTAATTTCATTTATTTTTGTCGTATCATCATTAATGAGATCATTCTTTTGGGTATTAGAAGTATTATCATTTTGTTTTGAGTTTATCTTGGTTAAAGTATCATTTGAAAATATAGAAGAATCTGTTTTATTGTTTTTAACATTATTTAAAGATACAATATTACTATTTAATTCTTGATTTATTTTAATATTGTCATCAATGGATGATCTATTTCCAATAACATTATATAAATTTTCTTCACAGTTAAAATAATCTAATAATAGTGGTTTATCTGTGATGAATTTCATTTTCTGTTTTGGTTTTCTGTCTCCATGCCTCATAACAATGATAACTGAACATAATTCTTCGTGATGTGAACAATGCAAATCATCTGGCTGCCTAAAAGTTTTTCTTAACACCTCTTCTTCATTTTCAATATTATACCAGTTATCAGCGAGATCTCGAGGAATTATATTATATTTTTCTTCTAATTTTGCTAAAAACATAGCTCTTAATATATGAGCACAATCATTATAATATTTTACATTACCTTTAACAAATGACCATCCATTTACATCACAAACAAAAGGACCCATAGTTGTTCTTAATATATCAAAGCCACAAACAGTTTGCTGAAAAGCTTCAACAATTCTATAAGCAATAATTTTTTCAGCTTCTGATAAAATAACAGCATATCTAACTTCTTTACCATCAGAAGTTCTACAAACTTTTCCGTCTAATGATGGAGCTTTTCTTGCTTCCGCATGAGCAAACATTTGACCAACTGTATAAACTTTTATATCTGTACCAAATGTGGACATAAATTCTTCGTATATATATGTACCATTATTTCTTACTTTATGTATATCTGGACAGTATTCACTACTTCTATCTTTTATTTTTCGAAACAATTTTTTACAACCACCTCCTGTATTTTTTGGATAATATATCCAATTATTGTGATTATCCGCATTTAGTGGCTTTTCTATGAATGGTTTGTTTAATCGTATATTATCATAAACTATGTAATCATAATATTCTTCAAATACATGTTCACCTTTTTTTACAGTGTCATGATCAACTACAACATAATTAGCATGGGGAACTCTCCACTTCTTAAGTTGTTCATATATTTGTAATCGTGAACGTAATATCAACTGTTTTTCTAAATTATTCAATGTTATTGGCTTATATTTTTTTACGTATTCAATTGCTTTTTTTAAAGGAAATCCAGTAGAATAAAATGCTATTAAGCAATCAACTACTGGCCATGAATCGATATCTTGGTTTAATATCATATCTTCTTTAAATTTTATTATATTAAAATCTCCACTCTTTGCTAATCTTTTTAATATACATTCCATTGGTGCACTTTCTACCTTACTTTCCATAGCACACACACCCAAAGTAAACTTTTTTATCAAACCACAATCATCTTTAGAGATATTCTCAAATAATTTTTCTTCATCTAATGAACCTTTATGTTTACGTAGCTTCATTTTCTTCTTATTTTTATCACCATTAAAACTTTATAATTATAGTAGATTCATTTATTTCCTTTTTAAAAGAAACAAAGAATGTTATTGGGAAAATAACTAATTATATAAGAGAAATATAGAATGAAATAAATAAAAAAAAAAATTTTAATAAAAAAAATGTCTTAATTATGAAGAGTCATAGTTTACATATATATAATTGATTTAAATAAAATTATATTTAAAAAAGTGATATTTTTTTTGTTTCTATTCATTTTTATAATGATTATATTTTCATATACATTTTCTATAAAAATAAAATAAATTTTCCTTTCACTTTATTTTGTTTTTACTTATTATTTTTTATGATTTTAAACTAAATTTTTATTTCTACATTTTGATCAGTTTAAAAAGAAAAAAAAAAAAAAAAAAATATAACAGATAAGAATAATTGCTAATTTTATAATAATCACAATTGTTCAAATTTAAAGATGGTATATATTTATTATAATTATAACATATAAAAAAGAAATATAAAATTAACATGTATATAAATTCACATTATTATTTTGTTTTTCAACACGAAAAAATATTATAATAGGGAGAGGAAAAAAAAAAAAAAAAAAAGATACTTTAATAAATTTGTGTAAATATTTTTGTAATTTTTAAAAAATAAAAAAAATTCTTAAATTTTGAAGGGAATAATAATACTTTCAAGAGTTAACTTTTTCTATTTGACAGTATTCTATATAATTTTATTCAAATAAAAATTATGAATTGAAAGTTTCTCAAACCTCAATTTTAATTTAAAATATATTTCATGAAAATGTATATTTAATTTAATACCTTATATAGATTGAATCCAAAGTTTTTTCATTAATATTAAAAATACGAAATGAAAAAATTACAACTAATGAGATATAATAAAAAGCATATATATAATAAAAAAAAATAAAAATTATAAAATGTATTAAATTAAACAGACTAAATGTTATACATAAAAGGAGTATTAAATTCAATGTACAAAGTAAGTAATTCATTAAAAGAAAATTTCCTACTTTTCTTTAAATATGTGTAATTTATAAAAGTTTATATATATATATATATAATTTTTTTACGAAACTCCTTATATTCACTTTTTTTGTATGTGTAATTTTTCAATTATATATTTTAACATAATTTTGAGTTTTTAAGAAAAAGTATTTTTTTTCTTTATTTTTTTTAAGTGAATAATTTTGTTATTTTATTTTTCTAATATTATTAATTCTTTTTTTTTTTTTTTTTTTTTTTTATTTATATCTTGTTTACTTCTATTAGTTATTTTTGCTGTCAGTGTAATTTATTTTCTTTTAAATTGTCTACTTTTATATATTTTATGTATTTTTATTCTATTACTATTTTTAAAATGTAATTTTGTCATTAAATTGTTTATATTAATATATTTCTATGAAAAAAAAAAAAAAAAAAAAAAACATATATATTAATAGATAACTAAAGTGATAGGAAGAAAATAAATTATGAAACCAAAAAAAAATATTCCTTTTTTAGAAAAACCAAATATTGAAGAAATAAATAATAATATAAAAGAAAGTGGATTAGTATTATGTGTGTCACTAAATGAAAAGGAATCAGTATCTCTTGTATCTCCTTCATATTATTATATATATGTTCAGAGATACATGTATTTATCAAATATTATTCCAAAATGTTTAGAATATTTTAAATCATTTATTTTACCTTTTTATGGTAATAAATATGGTGTTTATTTTGAGTGTCTTAAAAATGAGAAAGAAAATTTAGATAACGATTCAAATAATAAAAATATAAAAAACAAAAGTGAAACAATAATACTTGATTGGAGATTACCTATTGGTGTTTTATTTGATATTTATTGTGATATTGAAAATGAAAATGCATATATAAATGGAAAAAAACAAAATTTGAAATTCTGTTCTAGTAGTGAATTATTTTACGACTGTATAAATATTTTAGAAGCTTCTTCAAACGAAAAAGATAATTTTAATAACATAATAATAAAAAAAATAAATGATGCAAATGAATATAATAATGAATTAAATAAAGATTCAACAAAAAATTCAATTAATTACTCTTCAAAAATAGAATGTAATAATGAAATAAACGTCGACTTAGATAATGATAATATAAATAATAAGCCTATTTCTAAAGGAAATATTCAAATGTCTTTAAATAATTTAAAAGAGATAGATAACTTAAAAAAAAAATGCGATGAAAATAAAGAAAATAATAAAGACATATATGAAAAAAATAAATACTTTAAAAATAATTCAAAATATTATAAATTAATTATGAAAAAAGATATAAATAATGAATGGTATGAAAAACAATTTTTAAACATATCAAATAAAAATATTCCATGGAAATTAATAGTTCATTTTAAGGGAGAAGAAGATTATCCTTATAATTTGAAGAAAAATGATAAAAAGATCTACAATGGAAACATAAATGTTCTAGCTTACAATAGTTGTATACCTTTATATAAGGGATTTAGTGATTTTGAGGAGAATATAATAAATCAGTTAAAGAAAGCAAGTTATATATTTAATAAAAGCAATAGATTAATACAAATGCTACCACAACAAGTTGAAAAAGAAATTTTATATAATTTAAAAAATTTTAATGTTGAAAATATTTGTTCATTATATAGAAAATATATTGATTATAATATGATTAAATTTATAGATTATTTTAATAATGAATTCGTTAAGAAAATAAATTTTTTTTTTGTATATATGAAAAGTATAGAAAATAGCACAAATGAAGAAAACAAAAAAAGAGAAGAGAGTAATATAAAATGTAAAAAGTATGATAATTTTACTCATATTAAGAATATGGAATTCTGTGATAAGCTTGAGGAGAATATTAATTATAAAAATAAAGAAAATGATAATATATTAAAAACAGTTGATTGTAATAACGAAAATTTATCAATAAGAAGTAATGAACTGATAAATCAAATAAATGAATCAAAAATTGATTATCTTTCTGATAATAATATGATAAAAAATAATATTAGAAATAATAGCATAAGTAATGTAGATGATAATAATCATTCTAATATTGATCCATCAACTAATAATTCTGATCAACATTTTGAAAAGAAAAATAGACAGAATAAAGATAATTTGTTGTTTCAAAATATAAATGAAAAATGTAAAAACTATTTAAATAAAAATAGTTCTCCTTCCTATAGTAATTATACCAAAGAAAAATATAGTATATATAAAATTCTGAATGATGACAAACTAGTTAAAGAAGTTCCTATAATTATACATATATATGGACCCCCATATAATCAGATAATGACAAAATTTCCATTATTTAAAATAATTTATTCAGAAAAAAATAAAGACTCTATTGAACAACTTTTTTTATATACATTGGGAGATTTTTTACATGAACAGTTCCCTTCATTTTTTAGAAAAATAAGTAAAGAAGAAAAACAAATTTTAGGGAAAGAAAAGGTTGATATAGAAAATAAGGAAATTCAGGATAATGTAGAAATAAAAAAAAGTCAATATTATAATGAAAACATTAAGTTAAATATAGATGAAAACAAAAATGAAAAATATATAAATAATAAAAAAAATGTGTATGACACGTATTTAAATAGTGAAACTATATTTTATTTTATAGAAGATGATTATTTAATTTTTAGTGATTATATGTTTATAATAATTAATGGAATACAAATTCCCTTAAAAACACCACTATATTGGCTTACAGCAAATTTTTCTCAATTTGATAATTTTCTTCATATTATTCTCCGTATACCTTCTTATTAAATTTTTTTAAAAACAAAAAAATTGTCACATATATGAATTATTTTTAAAAGAGTCCTTAAAAATATTTTTTCTGTATTCAAAATTTTACAAAGTATCATAAAAATTACGAATCAAGATAATTTTAATAATTAAATATTAAGTTTATAAAGATATAATATTTTTATTATATAGATTTTTTTTTTTTTTTTTTTTTTTTTTT